GGTTCGCAGCAACCCTAGTTACAAACTTACATACCACAAGCTACGAGCGGCTACGACCGACCGCTACGACCGCAGACGTGCTACGAGTTGCACTACGAGTTTTGTTGTTTATTCGAAAACGAAAACGTTGCTACGATCTTTTATAGGTCGCCAGACTCTAGACAAAGTAACATTCGATATATCGAATAAATATATCGAAGAAATCTATAGATTTCGATCGTTATTTGAACTAATGTCGGTAAACAACCGTGACGTCAACATTTATGTAGTGCTTATAAAATTACCGTTTGGTCAGAAGTTTGACTGCACGTTAATACCATATGGCATTAAATCCGACTTGTTATGTGCAAGATTTGAATAAATAAATATAACCTGTCGAGTCTCTTACATACAGTAGCTGTCTTACGTCTCGGTCTCTTATCTCGGTCGCTACGTGAACCTCCGCCTAATCTTTATTATCCTACTAATATTATAAATGCGAACGTTTGGATGTCTGGGTGGATGTTTGTTACTCTTTCACGCAAAAACTACTGAACGGATTTTGATGAAACTTTACAGTATTATTCTTTATAACCCAGAATAACATATAAATTTTGACGATCTGTGACAAACTAAATTTCACGCGGGTGAAGCCGCAGACAAAAGCTAGTTATGGCAATAAAGCCTTAACCTTTTTTCTTTTAAACACATAATATTTCTTTGCGTTATTGCAAAAACAACGTCTAATAATGTAATCTAATTAAAAGCTCGGGTTGAAATAATAAGCTCACAGCTTTTTAGAAGCAGCCGGCATCCGACGCCTTATTTCACCTACATAAATTGAAAAACAACTGCTAAGTGCAGTCGTGATTTTAAAATAAGGGTTCCGCATTTAGATATTTCTGCTGAGTTGTATAGTTCCAAAATACTGAACTGTCCTATGCATGACATTGACAGTGGGGCGCCACCGTCAATACCGGATCGCTGGTTCCAATTTTTGCCATGTTGGAAACCATATAGTTGAACGATGGTAGCGCCCCCCTGTCATTGAGTTTGGTGGGACAGTTCAGCTTGGGTCATCTATAACCATTGTATTGACATTTATTAACGTCAAACTATGTACTTCTTTTTGGCCTGCCTGTCACCTGATCTGCTGAAGTGATCAGGACAAAGGTGGAAACTTCACCCGGAATATCAACGATAGAGGATCTGATTATCTTACCTCCAACTGCTGAAATTGCTGTAAACATTGTTCACAGGCTTCATCATCATCATTATTTCAACCACAGGATGTCCACTGCTGAACATAGGCCTCCTCTAATTATCATATTAACCGGTTGATACCGGCCTGCATCCAATGCTTTCCTGCTACCTGTGGGTGGGCGACCCACACTGCACTTTCCAGTACGTAGCCTCCACTCCAGAACGTTACTGCCACATCGGTCTATTCTGCGTACTATGTGTCCTGTCTATTGCCACTTCAGCTTGCTTGTCCATCGGGCAATGTTCACAGACTGGGTTTTTATAAAATTAGCCAAAAACTTCAAGGTTTTCTTTAAATTCATTCCCTCTTGTCTACGTATGTCTTCTGTTAACTGACTTGAGTTGTCTGTTCCTCATTACTTTAATAGTGAATGGTTTCAGTATTCTCTCAATCAACCCTGTAAAAACCGTTTCCACACCATTGCCCCAGCCAATAAATCTCTGCACATGTAAATTTTTGCTAAATTCTAAACTCGTCGTGTCTCCGTAATTAATGCCGGGCGTTAGTTACGGGCTATTTCGATGCAAATTGATGGGAATCACACCGCCGGGGTTTGGCCGCACACTTGCGATTAGTTGCTGCGATTTTTTTGTCGCCAGCCCCTTAAAATTAGCTGTCACTTTTGATTATTTTTGATAGGGTTCATTGTCTGCTTACCTTTGCTCAGGGATAAACATGGCTTTCAAGGCATACTGTACAATACATGTTAGGTAGTAGGTACGCAGAAATTACCTTGGAGGAGGCCTTTGTCCAGCAGTGGACGTCATTTAGCTGAAACGAACGAACGCAGAAATTGCAGCAGTGGGCATAAGAGGTGGGAATAGGCCCATGTCAGGGTTATTAGGTATCATCATCATCATCATCATCAGTTCAGGCAGGAGCATGAATAACGACTAATTTTTAGGTGCAAAAATGGAAAATAAACATATAGGCCGCCCAATCCTCCATCTTTGGGGGCCTGATAGTTACCTACACATTTTGTCCCATGGTCTAGGCAGGTTAGACCAACTGAATGACTACCAAGCGATGGTCTTTTTCATAAATGGTGATTTTATAAATTTAAAATCGACAATCCGCAAGTGTGTGTCAAGTCGCCCAGCCTATCCCATGCTGATGAATTCAGAAATGTAAATTATTTTCCCTTACCTCGTCCCGCCACTATTTGCCTTAGGTATAGTTCATTAGTGATCTCAAGATCTTGCAGAGGGTGTTCTAGGTACTTACCTACAATAGGGATGTGTCCTGGGTAAAAAAGCAAGAGTTTGAATTAGTCCATCAGTTAACTTATCAAAAAACAATCTACCTACACGTATTTTTCACTTTTTCAAACTAATGAAAATTGAAAGAGATAAAGCGCGCGTTCAAAAATGAAGCCCGTGACGTCAAGGTGTGCTTAAAAGTAGCACTTTGTGACTTCACGCGGAATTTCAACTCACCTTAACTTCGTAATTACTTATCTGATAGCAGGCCTGGCTCACTCCGCGCGGTACATCCGATAATTACCTACAGCGAAGCGCCCCGCCGGCGGGTATTATATCAGTCGAGTGTCACGCGCTCGCCCGTCAGGACGCTGGCTTGCGTTTTAGTATGATTATAATGGTAGCGCATTTTCTTACATAACTTTTCAATTCCTATCATTGGAGATCCGTTTTTTTTTCGCTTCCCAAAGATGCTGAAAGGTATGTTGGCCATGTAGGTAATCAATAATAAAATTCTTAGGATAGTATAGAATTCTTTATTTTTCTGTAATAGTATGTTTAATTTATCTGTCTTATGTTAAAATAGGTAGGTATGAATGAAGACATTGTAATAGAACAAGTTTTTTTTAATCCTAATTAGGTATATTTGAAATGTTATTTTTACTTACCTACATACGTACCTCATTACAAATAAGTAGATTAATTATTTTTTCACTAGACAGCAACCCTAACAGCGTAAGAAGAGTTCAGAGGCACGCGATAGAAAGAGACAAAACTTGTAGGTGAATAAAATTGTAGGTACGTAGTGCTGTGCGAGCTGAATTCCACTGTATCGCGTCGCAGCAAGACTCGCATTTATTTAAATCGTCGTGCGGAGTAATCCTTCTGTACCTGTACTATTACTTATTCTGTGCTGATAGACAAATAAAAATATACGGGACCAATAATTTTTGATAATATAATTGACGGACTAAAAGTATTTTTTAGGTAACTAGCCTATTCCATCATCATTGTATATGATTATTATTGTCCCGAAGTTAGTTTAATTTTCTTTGCCTCTGCATGTCAAATGTTATTTTTAAAAGCTGTATTTGACCTTTAAATGTTACTGGTCGGCTTTTAGTATGAATTATTATCTTTCGCCTATATGAAATACTGATTAACTTCGTAGTACATCATTAATATTAAATTTTGCTTTGTACTTATTACTTTCCAAAGTTACACCACTTAATATTATAGAGTTGTCTGAGTCTAGACATAATTTAGTTTGATTAAGTCAGAAACATACAGGGTGTCCCGAAAAGTAGTATCAAGCCAAAGTCCAGAGGTAGAGCATCACTAGGGCTATCCGAATCACGCCCATGTATGTTCCACGATTTTTGATAGTTATGATTGTTTACAATTTGTGTGCTTAGGCACTTTTTTGGTCACTGTGCGCGAATAGGTAAGATAAGGTACATGCCTGATTTTTTAATTATTATTATTAGATAAATACGAAGCCTATTGATTCAGAAGTATTTACATCCATAACACGAATGTAAAAACCAAATAAGTTAAAAATCGTAAATGTAATAAAATCATAACTTGAAAACTATCAAAAGTCGCAGTGATTCCGGTAGCCCTAGTGATGCTTTACCTTTGGGCTTCGACTAAACACTACTTTTTGGGACACCCTGTATAAACAAACTTATCTAACAGTTCGCAACTAGTTTAATTGAGTAGTATTGAAATTGAATAGCGAATATTTAGTTAAGACACGATCATTAATATTTACTCAAACTGTGGTATTTTACCTTCGAATTACTTTAACTTATCGAACTTGAAACAGAATAAAGGGGAAAGTTTAGTGTAAGTTGGTATCGCACCTTCAGGGTTTCAAATACTCTTCTACCTACATATTTTTAACACTCCATTCATTGGACCTTTCTATTTACAAACCACGGATAGAAAAGACAAATAGGCTGATAGATAGCGGACAACAAAGTTATCTTAAGGTAGCCTTTCGAACTAAGCGTCACAGACGCAGCGTCTTTAGCTTTGGTCTTAAAGGCAGCTTTTCGAAGCCAGTTAGTGACGCGGCGCGTTGGTGGCACAAGACCAAAGCTAAAGACGCTGCGTCTGTGACGCTTAGTTTGTAAGGCTACCTTTAAGGCTGGTTTTAGTGTCACGCGGACCGTCAGTGCGGATCGCTCCGCTCCGAACCAGCCTAAGGGTTACCTATTTTTCTTTGATGTGCGGATACAATGCCTATGGCTAAACCTAGGCGCAGACCATCGACATCGACGTTTAACTTGTCGATAGTTGGGCCCGATTCAAATTTGTATGAAGAATTGGCCGATACCAAATCGGTGTAGCACACTTCCATACATGTTCAATGTTCATACTGAACAACAGCCCGATTCAACTATCGGCCAACTAAAAATCGGTGGTCTGCGCCTAGGCTAAGCCTTAAAAATCTCTGAGATTTTTGGTTCAAGAATCTTTGAAAAACTTTCTTTGTCTTCCAAAACTTTAACGTCACACTCTTCTGGCACACAATAAAAAACAAATCACACGTCATTCGGCTCAAAATCTGTCAAGTGTTGGTAAAAATGAAAACGAGAGTTTCGAGGTAGAAAAAGGCACATGAAACCTAGCAAAATAGAGAAAACACTGGACTTTCTGAAGGGGTACACACAAATTGACAAGATGAAGGTGTGGGACAAGTTACCGACGGTGATCAGCTGCTGCTTCTGCTGCTTCCTCAGAGCTGGCACTGTGATGATTGCTCTTGTTTCATTTGTAAGTAAGCCTTCTTGTACACGCTATGAAATTTCACCGTGTCTGCCGCAGGCAAGTCAAGAATTTCGTCGGACCTAGGCTACGAAAATTTGTCACACAGTGCGAGTCCGCCGCGTATCGTATCTAGCGCAGACAAAAATTATTTCTTGAATTATTCTTTCTAGAGTACTGGTTTTAGAATTTTTTATGTTTCCTTGTGTAGAAATATCGCCAGTTAAATTGGTTCAAATTTATTTTCTCAACATAGTGTAATTTTTGGCACATATTCATAGAATTATAAACTCGGTTCTAATAGAAATTGATAGCTATATTGGATTCTGTCTAGTACAGTTTCAGAGGTTTCAGTCTCTGTTTAGTTTACATAGAACAAACTCGCCTAAAACTCTGCGTATTTTACAAAGTAGGTAGGTACACATGCATATTGCAAGCTGCCTAGGTTGAGGCTATTTTTCAATCGTCGGATAACTTTTAACTGAAGAATAAGTTTGGCACATTGACAGAAAAATGACAAGTTTATTCTCCAGTTAAAAGTTATCCAACGATTGAAAAATCAGCCCTTACAAGTATATTTGCCTCGGTGGTTTTTTATTTCCATTAACTTTTTTAGATCGTCGGAGTGATCTTCGCTCCCAATGTCAACCACACACCCGGCTTCTGGGACATGGGCGGCGTATTGTCAAACTACAGCTCGGCCACCGAGGGAGCCATACAGATGATCATGGGGATGGTGTCCATCATGCTGTGTGCCGTCAGTGTGTTGCTTCTGACAGGGGCTTTATGTGTGAGTATGAAGGTATAGTTCTAAATTACTGAACTGTCCTATCCATGACATTGACCGTGGGTCGCCACCGTCAATACCGGATAGCTGGTTCCGATTTTTGCCATGTTGGAAACCATATAGTTGAACGATGGTAGCGCCCCCCTGTCATTGATTTTGGCGGGACAGTTCAGCGTGGGTCATCTATGACGGTTAGCCGTGTGGTTCCGGCAGAATAGAATCGTAGTAGAAGTAGAAGAATACACCTAGTAGAAGAGACCAGGGTGGTCTTTGCTTCTAGGTATATTCTTCTCTTATACACTCTTTTCGGCAATGTCGTAAAATGCAACTGAGGGACAAATTATGCAAATACTAGAACTAAAACATCTCATCAGCATGGGTCTCATGCCATGGGAAGTGTAGGTCAAATCTTCCATATGCCTCTGGTAAAAATAAACAAAAAAAAAATAGAGAGGGTCATGCTCCTATAGTTGATGATTAACGTGTCAGGCTATTTACACTTCCTGTTTTCAAGTGCACTGTTCCTGAAGCTGAAGCTGAAGTTTTGTTTCCTTCTAGTGCAAAGCAGCCTCTTGTGCAATAAATAAATAATACCCACCTTAAAAAACATAACCCTCCTTCCGGCGCGGACTGGTAAAAAGAGATATGAACTAAGGAAAGTGCACACACTTCATTACGTTTAAAGATAACGTACTTACTCTATTTGTCTAACGTCCGTATTCACAAATGATACTTGCTTAAGTGAAGCAGCAAATCGAACGCACAGCGTTGAATAAAGCTCTGTGATTGGTTTGTATGTCACCCTGTACGTCCACGCGCACTGTGAGACCTCATAGTAATGTTTGTGATTACGGGTGTAATTCTGATTTTGTGTACAGAATAAACCCTTAATAAGCAAGTTACATAAATAAAAGTCGCCCTATTTCCAACGGTTCCGACTAAATTTCCACTCTACTTAAACGTCGGTAATTTATTGTCTAAAGTGAGCGAAGAAGCGTGTCCTAATACGTCACCCAGTCACCTCTTAAAAAGGCATTCGGGTCAAGACGCCGGCATAGTGTAAAAAGATCAGTAAGCCAAAAATCGGTTGCTATTATACGTTAGAACTTACGCCCGTATTCACAAATATTACTATGAGGTCTCACAGAGCGCGTGAACGCACAGGGGACTCATGAAGTAATCACAGAGCTCTATTCAACGCTGTGCGTTCGATTTGCTGCTTCACTTATTTAATGTAAGCATCATTTGTGAATACGGGCGTTAGTGATAGACGGCGCCCGCATTGGTCGCAGGCAAGATTAATCTGTTGGTTTGTATTTAAGCATACAAATATAGTACTTAATTTATAGAAAGTAATCAAGACATCAACGTTTATCAACGTAGTTTTCAGATGAGTACTAAGTAGTCATTTTTATCTGTTATCTTACTCGTAAATGGGAATTATACTATATTTGACGTACTGGCTAGCAACTGGCGGAGAATGCTTTTAGCATCAACCCCACCTTTTGTATCAATTTTGTGCAATAAAGTTTATAATTTAATATGTTCCTTCAGTTTCAAACACACATTGAATTCTCTCTTTCGACTGTTAAACAAGATTCGAAATAATGCTACTAAATTACATTACTTATCTCTTTACACTGTGGTTATAGTGTAGGTAGGTAAATGGATTTCTCTTACGGTTAAATTTAATTTAAAATCCTTTTTGGAGAGATTCTGAGATAATTTCACTGGATATTGTGTTACATTGTTAAAAGTTTTTTTATGAAAAATATCAGATTATTTGAAGAAATGTATCTATGAGATCTTTATTAAAGATGGATGTTTGTTACCCTTGATTTTACATCTGAATATTAAAAAGAAAGAAGGCTTTCATATAAAACGATATTGTAAAAAGACTTATGAAAAAATAGTTCATCATGTCATTTAGTCTCGTCCTTCTCTAGTTTACTAGAGGCAAATAGAGTATTTGACCTACACTCCCGTGGATTATGGATTAGGGATGTTACCTAATATGAAATAATAATTAGGGCATTTCTACTGTACGGTGTATTTTTTCTCAATTCGGTGCTAAAATTTATATTTAGTTTTTTAAGTAGTTTCAATTAGAGATGNATTACGTCTGTGAGACGTCGATCGCTTCGATACGGAGACATATGAACTTGCCGCGGACGCGAAGTCGACTGGTGGCTTGCGACGCGGAGGGAGGAAGGTAGCGGGAAAGGCGACGCCAAAGGTGGCGTGATTTTAGAAATATTTCAAAATGAAAATTTATTACGTCTGAGAGACGTATAGGTCGGTAGTTAAAGGTATAAAAGCCGTCATTATTGTAAGCCATTTTATTGATATTTACCTCAAAGATTAATGTATTTCATTTTAATAATAGGAAATTGTCGTAGGTTTTTAATATCCGGTATCCGGCCGGATAGTGAGTTACTATCCGGTATCCGGCCGGATAGTAAATTTAGGCCGGATATCCGGCCTACCGGATAGTTACCGGATATCCGTTTCATCTCTAGTTTCAATACAAAAAAATAAATGTTACTCCATTCTGAATGTAAAAATAGCATTGTCACTAAATATTGTGAAGTGGTTTATGAGAAATGTTAAGCATCGAATTGAGAGAGCACCGAATTGAGAAAATGAATCACGGAATTGAGAACTGAATCTCCAAATATAAAAATCGCTCCGCAAACTAGAATTGATGACATTATGAAGAAATACCTAATGTATTTCAATAATTATTACAATAAATACTTAAAACGTTTTGATATCTGATTGCTGGTCTATTAGTTAGATGGTTCATTTTAGGTTTATGTGTCTGAAATACCAATGGAATAAAACAAAAATCCTAATCAATATGTTTAATTTTTTAATAAGGAACTATAATAAATTCTTAATTTTTATAAATTATTTTAATTTTATTTAAATAAAACAAATAAATACATAACATAGGGTCTCTTTGTTAATTTATTCTTAACCTTAAACATAAAACAAATATTGCAAAACCCAAGAGTTAGATTGACCTGACACTATACCGAAGATATTATATCGGACGTCAGTTTGTACACGATTAAAATGGCACTCAAATAGTTGAAATACAACAAGGCACCAGGTGTTACAGCATTATAACTGAGCTTCGCTGGTACTAAAGGCTCTACAGAAGCAGTTCAATTCCGTCATTCTCGAAGAAAAAACGCCTCCGGCATGGCACAGAAGTGTGGTGATAGCATTATAGACTCATCTCACTTATGAGGCGTGTTTACAAGCTATTTTCGAGAGTCCTTACGAATCATCTCGCTCGCACCCTCGACGACTTCCAGTCTTCCGAACAAGCTTGTTTCCGAAAAGGCTTTAGTATTATGGTACACACACAGGTACGCTACGGCAGATTATACAGAAGACCAAGGAGTCGCGATATCGGGGATGATATTGGAGTCATGGCCTCCGTAGAGCCTTTCAACAAGTGGGTCTCAAAATGAACTTGGACAAGACAAAAATCATGTCAAATGTCCGTGTTGCACCCACTCCTCTGAAGGTTGGAGACTACACTCGAAGTTGTTGACAATTGTGTATACCTGGGACAAGAGTCCAGATAGTTAGGTCCATCTTTGAGAAAGAGGTCTATCGCAGAATTCAACTCAGCTAAGCATCGATCGGGAAGCTTCGCTATTACGTCTGAAATACCGCAGCGTCTTAAGACAAAAGTCTTCTACCAGTGTGTGTTGCCAGTGATGGTGTATGGATGTGAAACTTGGTCGCTTACTATGGGCCTAATAAGAATCAGAAATGTGAATATCGGCAAGAGAACCAAAGTGACCGGCATAGCCCGTAAAATTGCATATATCAAGTAGCAGTGGGCGGGGCACATAGCTCGTACAGATAATGTCTGTTGGGACTGAAAAGTTGTCGAGTGGAAACCACGGACCAGTGAGCAGGCCCCCACTAGGTAGACCGACGATCTGGTGAAAGTCGAGGGAAGAACCTGGAAGAATTATTTTAATAAGATAGCAATAGCAGTCTATTTTTTTTAATGAAACCTCAAAAAATTAGTTTTATTGTCTTCTATCCAATGACTGGTACGGTCCAATGATTGGTAGTTCACCCTATTATTATGCTCCATTGGTTTCATTATTATTTTAAGTTACACAAACAATTTATAGCACAATAAAAGTATCTATTTTCATTTAATCTCAATTCGGTGTACGTGTTTTCTCAATTCGATGCCCCATTTTCCGCGGAATTGAGATCCACGGAATTGAGGAAAAATCACATTTCATCAAATTACTCGAAAATATTATAAATTACAACGATTTCTACCAAACGTAATGGCAGATATCAGTTAAATACTTAATTAATTCAGCAGTAATCTCATTAAATACTTCATGGACATTATTAATATCGCACACCGGTTTGAGAAATGACCAGTGACCAAAAATTCTGAGTGATTTCAAACCTCTGAAAAATGCTCCTCAAAGCGACTGATCCCCCTTTTATACTGCTCGACCACTCGAGTGTAACTGCTAGTTTATGGGAATCAGGCGTGGGTGTTCGTATTGTGCGTTGTTAGTGATATAGGAGCACAAAAGTAAAAATCACGGAATTGAGGCACACACGTCGGACAAAATTTAAATGTGTTACTGTATTAAAACCCAAGGACTCGCAATAAAGAAACTAATTTATATAGCTTTATTAACTATCCCTTGTTCTGTGAATGTGGGTTTCATAATGTTATTATTTCAAAAGTTATGAAGCAAAAACGAGTAAATTCTGGAAACCGGACACTCCATTTTAGGCCAAATTTCGCCCGTTTTTGAACTTTCGGATTTTTTCAAGGCGAGACGTAAAACCTGGCGGTCTTCTAAATATGCTCTCCATCAAGCCAAGAGTCCTATAAATACGTGTGATTTTTTTCAAGTCCGTACTTCAATTTTAAAGGTACTTTTTTCGCCCCAGTAGGTCGATCGGTCGTCCCCGTAGAAATGCCCATTACAACTAAACTGCTTAACTCAGTGTCTAAGGTATGGGACCAGCTCCGCTCGGGAGGGGTGACATTTTTTTTATGCATAACAAGGCAGTTATTTGACCACAATCGCACCTGATGTTAAGTGGGATGCAGTCTAGGATGGTACATATCTGCCCTGTAAGTGCCTATTCACTCTCGCCTTGAAAATGCCCGGATTATAGTCTTCGGGAAAGACAGCAGCAGGCAGCGAATTCCAGTCCCTAGCTGTTCGCATTGTAAAAGAGTCATCGAAACGCTTAGTGCGAGCTGGTGGAATGTCAACAATATAGGGATGGTACGCTAACCTGCATCTGGTTTCCCGATGACATATTATGACAGAGAATATAAATCTGAAGTCTCGCTAACGTTTGACGTTACAAAAACACCCTCCTGTGCTGCTCCAATACCTGAGGCTTTTTTAAGGCTTCCACAGACCAAACGCGGGTCAGAAGCAGTGCGGGTCAGTTGCAGCGCAGCTGAGGCACACTGAAAGCAGCGCAGTTTCAAAGCAGTTACAACGCGGGCGGTTGTCAAAAAATTCAATATTCGAAAACCGCTTTCAACGCGCTGCTACCGCCCTGCGTCCGGTGTGTCATGCTAATATGGCCGCCATAGTAATACAACAGCGCGGGCCCGCGTTCGCGCCGCTTCTGTCCCGCACTTGCGCCGCCTCGTTTGTCGTTCGACAGTTTTGCAGTGCGGCGCGGTTGGAGCGCGGGCCTGCGTTCAAATTTGGTGTGACACACTTCAAAGAGTTTCTTGTATTACAACTTGAGCGGGCCCGCACTCAAACTGCGCTGCTACTGCCCCGCGTTTGGTCTGCCCAAGCCTTTATTTGTACCACATTTTCTTTCCAGAACCTTCCGATCCTGATCGAGGTGTACCAGTGGGGCGCAGCAGTTTACACAGCGGTGGTCGTGCTTCTCTACTTCATTCTCGCCGTGTTCTGTTTCTTCGTCCACACCAACTGCTACCTGGCTGGGGGGGCGTTGCTGGCGCTTATTATTTGTAATGTATTATGTGAGTATACAGGGTGTTTCAGTCACTCTGGTTCTCCTACGGATCTCCTCATTTCTGATTCGATCACGCAGGGAAACTCCGAGCATAGCACGCTCCATCGCTCTTTGGGTGACCTTGAGCCTTCTTATGAGGCCCATAGTAACTGACATAGCCCGTAGAATCGCTAAAATCAAGTGGCAGTGGGTGGGGCACATAGCTCGAAGAGCTGATTGCCGCGGGGGCAGGAAAGTTCTTGAGTGGCGACCACGAGCTGGAAGACGTAGCGTGGGCAGGCCTCCCACTAGGTAGACCGACGATCTGGTGAAGGTCGCGGGAAGTACCTGGATGCAAGCGGCGCAGGACCGGTCTTTGTGGAAATCCTTGGGGGACGCCTTTGTCCAGCAGTGGACGTCTTTCGGCTGAAACGAACGAACGAACGAACAGGGTGTTTAAGAAAATGTACAGTTGACAGTACATCAGACTATACGTTTTTGTTGTTTTAATTAACTCTTTTACATTTATAAGATGCTGCAGTGATCAGCTTCATATGCTGTCGTCTGACACCCAAAGTAGCCAAAAATTCGCAAAACATCTTTGTTACAATTGGAATAAGGTTGTGTAATCAACCTTTTGGCCACTTTAGGTGTCACGACCGACTTGACTTTGACTGTACCAGTAGGGGTAGGTGTAGTAGGGAACTAAATGGGATTCAACAAGTTGCACCATGGGAGCGATATCGTAAAAGACTTGACATTTGTTTTTGTGTCAACTGGGTCAGATGACCTTATAAGGATTGCAGGAAGACGCTGGATACGTTCGCTACCAACCGACCAATCTGGAAATAGTTGGTGGAGGATGATCTGTAGCTGAAATGATGATGACATGATTTTTAGATGTTTTTCAGCTCCCAAATAGGTATCTACTTAATCTCCAATGCCAAAAATGGGCTTCGTTAGCCCTTGTCTACCGTACGCTACATCTCCATAATATTTTTCGTGCACACTTGCGACATGCGACAAGTCGCACTTATGCTCGTGCGACTAGTCGCATACTTGTTGAAACTAGTTCAACGGTTTCTCTTTTCCAGTGACCGTGTACTTCATACTGGTGGCGAACAGTCTGAGAATATCGCTGCAGTTTTTAAACACGGAGATGCCCTTGTAACCATGTCACTGTGTCGTATTAGATATTATTAGGTCAATAAAGTTTGGGATTGTGACCGTTTTAATGCATGTTTTATTTTTATTTATTTTTATCCACAACGAGGAAGCTCTTGGCCTGTTTCTCACCTGATAGTAAGTGACGATCAGGCCTATTTTATTATTAACGTTTAAGCAATCAAGCTAGGCAGTGCATTCCAAAACCTTGCCTCTGTTTAGAAGAACGCGTGATCCTGCAGTAGGTCTCAACTTTTAAATGACCTGATAATGATGATGATAAGTATAATATATATGATAGGGATACCCCCTTAATAAATTCATTATCTACACTAGGTAAAGCCTGGTCGGGATTGGACGGGATTCTACGTGCTCACGGACCAGGCTGCTTTATACCTGATCAAACATCAAACACAATTCCAAAACATTCTGAATGAATAGTTCTGCAAATAATATCTGAAAACATTTTGTTTTGGTAGACATGTTTTGATAACATTCCACTTTGTACGTCAAACGGTAAGAATTTCGTGGAATTTTGTGTTATTTTGTAAAGAATATCTTTTGTTCGCAAATATGCTTTTCAACTAACCTATTTATGAAAAACTACTTTCTATGTTTTGTAAATTATTGAATTCCTGGACGAAATATAACCTAAAATGTCAAACGTCAGCAATCATGTATTTTACAGCAAGTTTTATTGCTTTTCAATACTGTAATTTAGTGAAAAGTTACAGTAAAAATTGTAAACATGTGCTTAAATTGTTTACCTACATTTGAAAAGTGTTTGTATTGTATTTCGTTGAGAGATGCCGTTATTATTATTTTTAAAGTGGGATTGGTAAGTGAATTATTTCTTGTTTATAATTTTTAACTCCTATTTACTTTTGTTCGCATTTTATTAAGATGTCTGTGATAGTGCAGGAAAAGGAATTAGTATCCATTCAGTAGGTTTGAACTTGATTCCTAAATGGGACACACAAACTTATAAATGTATTTTTAACTGCTTAACACTGCTCAACGTAAAAAGCATTGATAATTCGATACAGATTGTATACAAATTGTTGTATTTATGAACCAAAATCACTTCATAACGGATTAGACATTTTTACATCATGATTATTGGTGACTGCTGGTCAAATCAGTCGCTCGGCAAGTGAAAGTTCGTAGGTTCTATTCCTACCTGAAGCAATTCAGATTTTTTCAAGTTTATTAAAATATTATTTTGGGTGCACCTCTTACAGATCGTTTCATCCACGAAGACGCGCCCTACCATTCTTCCGCGAATGCTTGAGTGTTATTGGTACACGCACCTCGCGCTTTCCTCGACCAAAAATTGGTGGGGGCGTCTTCGTGAATAAAACGAGCTATACCATTTTTTTACCCGGGAAAATGGCCTATCCATACCTACCGCCGGGGGACGGCAGGTTATGTTTTTTTTTTTTTTTTTTTTTTTTTTTTTTTTTTTGGTTGATATTAAAAGCTTAAGTAACCTTATTTGCAATGATCTCACTTTATTAATGTGTACAGGAAAAGTAAGGCCATAGGCATTTAATCCGTATGATATTACAGCCTCCACTAGCGCATGATAGAGAATATACATAATGCTCCTGGTAACCGCATATTTTATATTATGTAGTTTACCCAAAATTGTTCTTAATTTGTTACAAACCAAGTTAGCATGCAAGTTCCAACCGAAGTGTCTATCTACTGTCAATCCAAGGTACTTATACGATATTACAGGTTCAAGTTCTACACAGGTACAGTTACTTTTTTTATTATGCAAGCAGTCATAGCTATGGCCCTTGATACTAATATTAATATTTTTATCTTTAGTATAAGGAGATATTATACACATCGACTTAGTCTTATTAATATTTATAATAATTCCATTATCATGTGCCCAACGAACTATACTGTCGAAGTCCTCTTGCATTACTTTTTGTATATTTGTTTTGTTTTTACCGCTATATATGATACATGTGTCGTCCGCGTACATATAAGATCTGCAGTTCTTCAAGACATTTGGCATGCTGTTTACATGCATAATGTAGCCAACAGGTCCATAAACCGAGCCAGTAGGAACCCCAAACATGATAGTCCCCTCCCTACTTTCCCTTCCACATACACTCACTCTAAGCTTCCTCTCTCTTAAATACTCCTTGAACCACAGATTGATTGGCCCCCTGATCCCACATTCCTCCATGGACTGCAATAACTCACCGTGGCCGAGCGTATCGAAAGCTTTTTTAAAGTCAATGAATATAGCAAATACAATTTCTTGTTTATTTAATGAGTTGTTAACGTCATCTGCAAACTTAGCTAAAACCGTTGCCGTACTCCTTTGCGGGCGGAAGCCGTGCTGAGTATCATTAATGATTTTGTGCTCTTCCAGATATGCTGATATTTGCCCTACAATTATCTTTTCGACAATTTTATTCAATACATTTAAAATGGCTATCGGTCTATAGTTTGTGAATTCATTATGACAGCCCTGTTTAAATATTGGCCTAATGATTGCCATTTTTAGTTCTTGCGGATATAATCCCTTTTGTATACTTAAGTTAATGAAATGAGCAATCAAAGGAGAAATTAGTTTTTTTATTTCTATGATATCCCTCATCCTGATACCATCCGACCCCGATGCCTTATTGCAGTCCATACCATTAATAACTTTTATTACGTCAGTTGGCAATACCCTTTTAAATCTAAAACTTAAATTTGTTTCTGTCACATATTGTTTACGGTCTAAAAAAAGTTGTTGACATCTATGCTGATTTTTTATTTCTTCTATCTCCTGGGTAAATGTATAACAGAAACCATCACATATCTCAGTCTCACTCCTTGTCCTAAGCATGTACCGTTCAATCACAGTGTCTACAGACAACTTACTACGTCCTAACCAGCCATTTACCTGACTCCATATCTTACGCATGTCCCCTTTACATTTAATTAAGTTTTGTTTTCTATATTCATTCCTAGCAAAAGTTATTCGTTTATTTGTAAGATTTCTTTGTTTTGTGTATTCTAGTCGGTAACTATTATTTTTTGGATTGGATTTCCATTTCCTAAAAAGCTTATCTTTCTTTTCAATCATGTTTTGTAAATAACTGTTCACCCACGGCTGAGTGTTCCTACTTTGACTACTTGGTTTTTGAATTGAGGCTCGAACCCACTAAAAACCTGGGGTGTTCCCTCTGCCGCATAGTGGTCGGCGCCTTGGGTACTAGAAACGACCAAGGCGCCTTCCGCGGACGTCCACAGCCCCACTTAATGGGGGACCGACAGGATTAGCCGACGAGGGTTAAACGAGCTATACCTACCCTTATTTTTTAAAATGTATGTCCTTCACAGCTTCTCTATACGCCTTTGTTTATATTATCGATCATCGACGCCGAGAAGCTTGGCTTGGTGGACATAGACGACGTCGGCTTCTGTTGCTGGTACACCATTGTGATGGGCATCTGGATTGGGACTACTGTTCTACTTTGCTTGGTCATATCAAGATGTGTCAGGGTAATATATTTTTTATTAAAAGTCAATAACAATTAATCTATACCTACTTCTATACTAATGTTATAAATGCGAAAGTAACTCTGTCTATCTGTCTGTCTGTGTCGCTTCCACTGAACTGATTCTGATAAAATTAGGCAAACAGATAGTTTTGAGTCCCGGCAAAGGACGTAAGATAGTTTTTATCCCGGTTTTTGAAACAGGGACGCGCGCGATAAAGTTTTTCTGTCACAGACAAAATTCCACGCGGGCGAAGCCGCGGGTGGAAAGCTAGTTATAAATAAAAATTATGTAGGTAAACTAAGGCTGGGCTACACCATGTTACTTTAACTAGAGCAACGTCTAAAGTATATACTTTTGACTTTTGTTACTGTTAGAGTAAACTCCTTTAACAGCAAACTCCATACACCGGTTAGGGTTATAGTTACGGTTAAAGTAAGGTGGTGCAATTCAGCCTTAATCTTTTTTCGACAAGGTTAGTTATCATGATGTTTTCTTGCATCATTGTCATTCAGTAACGATGATCTTACTTCAAAGATTTCTCTACAGTACCTAAAATTGATTAAATTATTAATCTAAATTCGCGCTTGATCAAAATCTTCTTGAATTTTAGAGCTACAATGAAGTGCTCCTTCAGAAATGCGTGCCTTTGAAGACAAATCAAATCAAAAATATTCATTAAACTTTGATAAATCCACGACAATTTAAATTTATTCATCCAGTTTTGTTTGTAGCTTCATCTACAGTGCTACGGTTCGTAGAAACGTCAGTCGTTTCGTAGCACCGATTCGTAGAAGCTTAATCTTTTCGTAGTACAGCAGCTCGTCAACGGTTCGTGGAGCAATCGTAGCCGTACTACGAAACGCTACGGCAAAGTTTTGTAATTATTATACTACAAATCGCTTAGTCTGACATTGAGAGATTTTCCTTGGAAATCAAATTTATTTATTTATTTATATAATTCACTGTGGATTAAAATATATCAAATTAAGATTAGATTATTATGATTACAGTAATAAATTAAATTACACCAGTCGATTTTTTTGTACTTGTTGTGTACCTTTTGGAAGTAAAGTTTTATTTATTTATTTAAATAATATTACGTCAGATTAAATGATTACTAACGAAATATCATAAATATAAGTGGGCCGCTATACTTATCTTATTTGTTCAAGCTATAATTTTGTTGAGTTTTTCCGTATTTTTTGCTTGAACGCGCTAATCTCAGGAACCACTGGTCCTATTGGAAAAAAATAATGTTGGTGTTGGAGCCATCGAGGTAGGCTTTAGGCTATACAGGGTGGAAACGATAAGTGATCTCACTCGATTATTTCTAAGCTATACAAGATATTGAAAAACTTTTTACTGATCCTGAAAGTGCTTCAAGAGCTCTTTTAAACGGTACCAATAATAGGTTACAGAATAAACTGGATCTATCTGAAAATTCAATGTTTCCAGCTTCAATGGTGATCTGAACGCGTTGGTGTGATTGAAGCATTAACGTTGTGTAAAAAACCTATTATAAAAGTAAAGATAGCAGGGAAGCGCTGGACGCAGGCCGCTACCGATCGATCAATATGGAAAGCATTGGGGGAGGCCTATGTTCAGCAGTGGACGTCCTATGGCTGAAATGATGATGATGAAAAAACCTATTTGACTTCTACACCAGAATAATAATAAGTACTGCTTCTACGATCTGGTGAAGGTCGCGGGAGGTGCCTGGATGCCGGCGCAGGATCGGTCTTTGTGGAAATCCTTGGGGGAGGCCTTTGTCCAGAAGTGGACGTCTTTCGGCTGAAACGAACGAACGAACGAACTGCTTCTACCCCATTCTAGAACGAAGACGCCAGAGATATAATGTTACAAGTGTTCTTCTGGCTGGTGGTGGCCACGTCGTTGATCCACCTGGTGTTCTGCCTGACGTACCTGGTGTTTTGTTGGAGTAAATGCTTTACGGTGGCCATGATACACTTGGGCGCTTTTCTGGTGCATCTCTTGAGTAAGTAATTTTCGACCTTATTAATTCCCTGGCAATTAGCGTACAACTTTTAATAATAATTACATAATATGATTTTCGGAAACTCTCAACTAAAATTCGATGCAGTGTTACACCAAAATAAGAGCCCCAATCAATTAGCAATTTAGCAAACTCAGATAAAAAACTTTGTTTCTTTGTTTGTTACTTTTTTACGCCTAGGTAAGCTACTTTGTATCAATTTTGATGGATTAGGTTGGTATTCGTCAAGCAATATACATAATAATATTTACTATATCTTATTCAAAACCTATAACGATTACAATAAAAAAAAATCATATTCATGTTTTCAAGAACAAAATTTTCAAAATACAACCTTGTAGCACAAATACTTTCTGTTACAGATTAAAAACAATCTGAGTGAAATCACGAACAATTTTTATTTTCAACTTAAAATATGTAATTTTAAAAACAACACAGTGTTATCTCTTGCAACTGTCAGCCACGATCAGATAGCCGAGTGAAATACACTTTTAAAATACATTTTATCTTTTCAGTCACAGTGTACACCACCCTTATCGTGAACATCTACAGAATGTCGCTTTTTTGAGGCTTGAGAGCTGAAATGCAAGTAAGTACACCCTCGAAATAAGTATTAGGGGAGACCAAGGTGAGTTGTAACCATAAAGATCTAGAGAGATGCCAACTAATGCGCCGAGTTCGAAACCCAGTGTCGCGTTAGAAATTCACACGCACAAAGTAATCAAAATAAAAACAATAATTTATAATACTTTATTGCTTCATTTGGTAAGAAGGTCTATACGTCGCGAGGTGTGTGTGTCATGCACACATTGCATTGAGTGCGACCATTCGTTCGCATACTACGTTGCAAGTAAGTGTACGTACAGCACCACTACATACGCAGTGACGTACGGTTGAATGTGTTCTGTTAGTTTGAATGTGCTCATTATCCACTGCAGTATCAGTACTCAATGTTCGAATAATCTTTAGTACTACGCAATCAATGTAAACTGTTGTTCACACATATGACGTCGCTGCTTTCATCATTGCTGTCGTGAGCAATCTGTTTTGTTTTTGGGTATATTGCTGCGACACCGGCCGCGCCCCCTTGTCACATCTCCCTTTAATTTCTGTGATCTGTGGTCGTGACCGAGGAGAGAGAAATTACCGATTTTTTGGAACTTATGATCTACTAGTGAGATCGTGACAGTGCGCGTTTTTAGTTCAAGTCTCGAGCTAACAAACACGCGCTGTTGCGAGCTCGCTGATAGTTAAATCTTCAACCACACCAACGCGTATGATCGCCATCGCCGGCGCGATCATAGGCCAATGACAGGTCGCGCGACATGTCATTGGCCTTTTGATTGGTGTGTTTGAAGTATTAAAGGTTTCCAAAAATCAACAATGTCACAACTCTCCTCGGTCTCCCCTAACTCAAAGATTTCACTGCACAAAAGACTGTGGAGGTGTATAAAAGCTCTTGGAAGCGTAAGCTTTGTTTATTTATATCTTCAGAATGTGACAGATTAAGATTGTTTCGTTCTGAGTGAGACTAGAATGCTCTCGGTTATCAAAGGATTTTGTGCCTTATGTTTAATGTAATCCTTAGTACTAACTAAATATTTAGGAATTTAGTATTTTTAGCCCTCTTTTTTGTTAAAAGTTGTAGAAATCCAAAGAATTTTCCGAAAGCACTTAACTTTCATACTTCTAAGATACCTAAAGTCGAACGTTATTCTAAAATAATAAATAAATACTTGACAACATTCTTGAGATGAAAATAATTAGTAAAATTAGTTACAAAAGTTTATTTAAAATACAATAAATTGAAATTCTGTGATAAATAAAAATAAAAAGTTTCAACCAGACTAAATATATTATTTGGTTTCAACGCTTTAATCAACAAAAGCTCTTTTCTATTTTTGTCTCTATTGACACTTTGACATGACCAAAGTCAAAACATCTGTTGTATTTTGCATAATTTTTATTTAATGATTTAATTATTAAATTTACAATGTGTGAAATTTTTCCTGAAGTACAATCATGCTGTTTATTTGTGAACCTACGAATGGGAATGCTTCTAATATCAGTATTATGTATAGTGAGTTTAATTTTCCATTTTCTTTCAAAACACAAAGTTGGTTTCACGCAAAGATGTTTCTAAATTGATTGTGTTATGAGTTATTGTAGCTGAAATTAAAAAAGTGTTCAGTAATGCTTGTTTTACGTCTACAAATATGATTGTCTACCTTTTGTTGCTCGTGGGACGATTGCTGTACAATTTCATGTTGAGTTTAGTTTATCTTAGGAATCGCTTAGGGCATACGCCGGACTCGTAAGTTGATATCCGTTCTTTTGCCACTGAATTTAAGGTTGCAAATACTACTTGCACTTGCCAAAAAAACAACTATATGTATAGGTATTTGTTCAAATAGGACCCAGTAGTCATAGCTAGTGCTTGTGAAACTATTATCATCACTATTTCAGCCATAGGACGTCCACTGCTGAACATAGGCCTCCCCCAATGATTTCCATGTTGATCGGTTGGTAGCGGCTTGCGTCCAGCCAACCTTTATGATGTCGTCGGTCCACCTTGTGGGTGGACGTCCCACGCTGCGTTTTCCGGTACGCTACAGGGGGTGCTATGAATTTATTATTAATTTTGTGAAATAGAGCTCTTCTACTAGGTATAAAAACTGTGAGGTGCTGATATCATAATACATAATTTACCTCTTTCTAGTTGAGTGAAATCATGGATAGATAGGATATTAACTTTGGCCGTGAGTCAGGCTTGGCTTATTGACTATTAAAAGTAGGGCAGTGTAAGTCCCAAATCCCGAAAAGTGTCTTAACACTAATTTCCCATTAAATAAGTCGTTTCGTATTAATTTAAGAATCAATTCTAGTTAAAATCTATAAATAGTCCAAAGCAGTCCAACAAATAATAACAGTATAATTTACGTCAAACCTTTTAATTAAGTATCGTTACACAGTACAATTAAACTTATGTAATCTGTGTAATTGAAATAACGCCCCTAAATCCCCAATTAGGGCTCCGACAAAGTTATTTCTAATCTAAAGTCCGAATCTGTTTTTCGTAGAATAAATACACAAGCAAAAGCATTCCTTTGAGGGATGGTAATTTGCTAAATTACACGTTAAACCACATCAATCATTCATCCCATTGTATAATTCGGTCACGAAGTTCGTCTGGGGTGGCTATTTCGGAAGCGTACGAGATTGGAACGAATTGAATTCTGGTTGCCCGCATCCAGGTGCTACCTTGTATTGGAGGATCGGTCGTTGGTGAAATCCTTGGGGGAGGCCTTTGGCCAGCAGTGGACGACATTTGGCGGAAACGAATGAAATTCTGGTTGTACACTATTTTATTTTTATTTTATTTATTTATTAGGTATATACTACAGTTGAGTTTTGTTAGTAGATACTTAAGTACACATGGTTAGTAGTTAAGAGCTATAAAATCTATACTCTAAAATCATTTTAATGTTTTGAACGCTAGAATAGCTATATTTTTTAATAGCCACTTAGGTACTTAAGCGTTTATTTATTTACATACATACACCACACATTAGGTTTTGAACTGAAAAATTATATTTCCAGAACTTAACATGGGTTCCTTGACTATTATTATTATGTCATTGGTGTAAAATTTTGGACAATTTCGTTTGAATACAACCTGTATTTTATTTGAAAATGAGACTAAGACCCCACAGACTGCAAATTTTTAGTCGGCCCATAGTTTGGTTCCAATTTGTATGAGGAATCGGCCGATACCAAATCGGTATATACACTCAGCGGCACGGAATTTGGCCCAAGCCTAAACAACCAGATATGCGGCCAAATAGGGGTTGTATACCTAAGTTTCGAGTGACATGTTACCAGAACATTTGTTTTTGTTAATTTAAGAGGCTAGATTCATAAAAAAATGCGTCAGTTTAACTTTTTTGACTCTAGAAACGCATTTCGTTGTTAGAGGGTAAAGAGTACGGATAAGTTCAAATTCGATATTAAATGTTGTAAGGGTTTGGCGTTTTTTTTTTGTTTCTAAATTAATCTTAGGGTTATTCTCGTTTCCATAATTTGAGAATAATGCCTATTACTCCAGCTCAAGTTGTTCAAATAGTGTTGCTTAGAAGTCAAAGGCGTATGCAGCGGGTGATGGCTGAAACTTTTAATTTATGGCGTACAAACTTAAGATACACGTTAAAAAGGCATGACCAGACCGCCTTTTACACAAGAAGACCAAGAAGTGGGGAATTAAGGTGTATGTCAGCGCGCGATTACCCGATTATCGTGCTTGCAATATCAAGAAATCGGGTTCTCACTACGTTTGAGATACGCCAGCGTTTAAAAACAGCAAGCCTAGTGGATGTCAGTGAGCACACAATAAGATGAAGGATGGAGGATCATAACCTGCATACTCGAAGACCAGCTCGAGGACCAGAACTTCTCCGATACCTTCGCGAAGTGCGACTTACATTTTCTAGACAATATGCAAATTGGACGCAAGGCTAATGGAGTAAAGTTCTATGGATCGATGATTGCAGAGTCACCTTAAGAGCTGCAGATGGCCGTGGAAGTGTATAGAGAAGGTGCGGAGAAGAGTTACTACGCAAACAGACAGTTTTCATAAAGAGTTTACTCCATTAGTCTAACGTCCAATTTGCATGTTCTCCAGAAAACGTAAGTCGTACTTCGCGAAGGTATCGGAGAAGTTCTGGTCCTCGTGCTGGTCTTCGAGTATGCAGGTTATGATCTTCCATCCTTCTTCTTATTGTGTGCTCACTGACATTCACTGGGCTTGCTGTTTTTAAACGCTGGCGTATCTCAAACGTAGTGAGAACCCGATTTCTTGATATTGCAAGCACGATAATCGGGTAATCGCGCGCTAACATACACCTTAATTCCCCACTTCTTGGTCTTCTTGTGTAAAAAGCGGTCTGGTCATGCCTTTTTAACGTGTATCTTAAGTTTGTACGCCATAAATTAAAAGTTTCAGCCATCTCCCGCTGCATACGCCTTTGACTTCTAAGCAACACTATTTGAACAACTTGAGCTGGAGTAATAGGCATTATTCTCAAATTATGGAAACGAGAATTACCCTAAGATTAATTTAGAAACAAAAAACAAAATGCCAAACCCTTACAACATTTTAATATCGAATTTGAACTTACCCGTACTCTTTACGCTCCAACAACGAAATGCGTTTCTAGAGTCAAAAAAGTTAAACAGACGCTTTTTTTTATTAATGTAGCCTCTTAAATTAACAAAAACAAATGTTCTGTTAACATGTCACACGAAACTTAGGTATACAACACCTATTTGGCCTCATATCTGGGTGTTTAGGCTTGGGCCAAATTCCGTGCCGCTGAGTGTACATACTGTGTATAGAAATCCGCACAATACCGATTTGGTATGTATTACATACTCATACTTATTAACAGCCAGACCAAATTATCGGCCGACAAAAAGTCGTGAGTCTGCGGGGTGTCAAGGAGCTTTCGTTCGAGTGATGCCAGAATAGGGCCCGTATCTATGCTCGACTAGTTCAGCGGTAACTCAACGTGTAATTTCCTCAGATGACGGGTGTGACGCTGCTGTGCATCATAGAGCAGAGGACGAACGCCAACTTCAAGAACCTGAAGAATGTCACCGACATTAACCGTAAGTTTTAGCCTAGATGCAGAGCACACACTTTTTGTCGGCCGATAGTTGGGTCGGGCTAACAGCCCATGACATGAATGAAAGTGCGCACATTGGATCGGCAGATACTCCATACAAATTAAGATCCGGCCCAACTATCTGCCGACTAAAAGTCTGTTGTCTGCGCGGAGTCTTATGTCGGACTGGCTGACTTGAGATCCGAGTAATGCGGGTTCGATTCGAACACCGCCAGTGCTGGACTATTGTAACTAACTCATTTATCAATACGTGACACAAGCAATATTTAGTTTACCACGAGGTCTTAACGGGATAATTAGTAATTAATTTGTATCTATAAATGATATTTTACTAAAATACAGGACTATTCCCACCTGCAACTTTTGTGTATCTAGGATTTACAGCTTATAAAAACTCAACCAATGAAGGCTAAGTTAGTCCCGGGGAATGTTAAAATCGTGATTGGACACGCAACGAAATTAATCGACTTTTCTCTACTGCAAAGCGTTTTTCTATGAGGACAATACATTACACTTTCTTATAAAATACATAAAAATACCCAGACCCAATTTTTTAACTGTGCGGAATTCGAACTAAGCCATTAAATAATAAGATATAAGTACAACGTTTTCTTTTTCGAATAAAATGTCTTTCACAGAGCCAACAAAGGCCGTGTCAGCTGCTCACCAGGTCATCGTGACGGGACTGTCGGGCATGTCAATAGTGTTCATGATCACAGGCTCCATACTGCTTTTCGCTACAATCACGGTAAATGAATAAAATGTCTACTCATTAGACAAAATTTTGATTATCTAATTTAAAGAGGGTTTTTCTCGAAAACGAATACACACGTTCAAAAGCGTAATTAATATCATTATCTCCTAATGATGATGATGAATGTGATAAAAAGCGACGAAATTAGAAGTCATCAGGCCTCCTCAACCCTCTGACCAGCGTGAGGAGTGTAGTTCATCATCATCATTTCAGCTACAAGACGTCCACTGCTGAACATAGGCCTCCCCAATGACTTCCACATCGCACGGTTGGTAGCGGCCTGCATCCATCGCCTTCCTGCTACCTTTATCGGGTTGTCGGTCCACCTTTTGGGTGGACGTCACACACTGCGTTGTCCGGTACGTGGCCTCTACTCCAGAACCTTTCTGCCCCATCGGCCGTCAGTTCTGCGTGCTATATGCCCTGCCCATTGCCACCTCAGCTTGCTAGCAGCGTAGTTGTTCATTTTTATCTACAGCGGAGACTAAATGAGCTGAAGATTAGCTCTGATAATGAAACTCTTTTGCCTTCCCAGGATCAAGAAGGCCTAGTCCAAATATTCGTCTGGGTGACGTTCCTGAACGTTCTGGTCGGCTTCATACTGACGTTCATGGTGGGGTTCTCATGTCTGTTCCGGTCGAGTTGCTTGCTGTCTAGCATGGACTGGCTGTCGGGGTCGGCGCTGTTAGTGATGTTCGTGGCTTATATGTTCCGTGAGTGGCAATTGTCTTCTATCTCTTAAATTAAGCTACAACCTAAATACTTTTATGAACAGGCAAACTTGCTTCACCATAAATTTCATCTGCACCATACACAAATTGCACCATATTCAAATACCATACTCACACCACACTACATGAGAAAATAAAAAAATTGAGTCTGTTTGACAAGTCAAAACTTTACATGAAAAAATGAAAGTAAGTACTTTAAATACGGCTCCGATTATTCACAACTTCCTTCCTTCCTTTGACTTTCAATATACAATACTTAATGCTGTAAAAATCGACCATTATAAGGTCCCTAAAATAGTCCCCAACGCCTTCAAAATACACCAAAACTTTACTGTTTTACGTTCTTTATAACGATCCATCCACTGTTATCCATTTTCCTTTTTAGTATTATTTAGTTAGATAAGATTTTCTCTCATTTATTGATAATGCCCGCGGCTTCACTCGCGTGAAATTTAGTTTGTCACAGATCGTCATAAATTATAGCCTATAAATGTTATTCTGGGTAATAAACAATAATACTGTAGAGTTTCATCAAAATCCGTTCAGAAGTTATTTTTTGCGTGAAAGAGTAACAAACATCCATCCATCTCTATTATTCTACTAATATTATAATGCGAAAATTTGTATGAATGTCTGGATTCATACAAACTTTCGCATTTTAATATTAGAAGGATAGATAACCACAGAGACGCTAAAACACCTGATAACTATTTGCTGTTATCAGGTGTAAGTTTTCCAAAAATAGTAAAATAAAATATTATCAAGCAGAAAGTATCAGTGGATGGGTCGCTATCCACACATGCATTATGAAGATGAAATGCAGTCACACGTCCAGCTTTCGTGTGTCTTTGCTGATGCTGTTTGCGTATGCAGTAGAGACGTATAGGCTTTAGTTAGAGCTTTTATAATGGAGAAAGGAACGGTAGGTTTTCAAGGCGAGAGTACAGGGCAGATTATGTGCCATCAACTATCATCCTAGACTGCATCTCACTTAACACCAGAGGATTTAGTGTGAGTTTATATCAAACGTCCTCACAGAGCGTGTTAGAAAAATATATTATTAGAAATTTTAGTTCTTGAAAGTGTCCGCTAGGGGCGCTGTACAATCCGTCATGCATTTAATGTCATTTTTTACGCGCTCACTTGTGAGGACGTTTGATATTAACTCACAATAAGTCCTCTGATGTTAAGTGAGATGCAGTTTCACACTAAGGCGGTTATCACACTGCGCCGCGCTCCGCCGCGGAGCGCGTGATTTTCATATGAAAAATCACGCGCGCGGACGCGTTGTCAGTGTGAAGTGCCGCGCGTGTTTTCTATACAAACTGAGATACTTGCATACAATGATTAAATCTGTCGCCCCGCGCTCCGCCGCGGAGCGCGGCGCAGTGTGATAACCGCCTAAGGTCATATTTGTAGAGTCAACGGACTGTCCAAAAACATCGCAGATATAAGTCTAGTGTAAGTACTCAGTGCCTTAGGAATAGGAGCCCACGGGCGTGTTTTTTTTACGTCAAATGTCAACGAGACTTCAGATTTGTGTGCTCTGTCACGTCATATTATGTCTCTTTCTTGCCGCTCTCATACCTCAGGCACTGACTGAGTTTAGAGCTACGCACTGATAAAATTCGGCGCAACCACGACTGGCTCCCCGATAATCCACGCTAAATTTTGTCCGTGCGCGTCGCATACGTATTGGCGTGCTCACATACAAACCGCGCTCGGTGCGTTTCTATGAAGATAACCTACTCATTTAAAGCTAATTTGTCTTTTTCAGTATGGATCTACTTCATAGTAGTGGCGAACAGCTATGTACTGAATGTCTTCGTGTAAAAAAAGAAGATTAGGTTTCGTATTTGAAAGTCGGATCGGAATAATCGATTTGTGTTCTGTTGATCATGTTTGTGAAATACACTTTGTTTTTATAAGTGTTTATTTTTTGAGACTTTTTGAATATATACAGTGTCATGATATGTTGTTTTGATGATAGATTAGATATACCTAGACAAATTATATCCGAGTCTTATACGGAGGCATAAAAACGATTCTATCATCATCATCATTTCAGCCATAGGACGGCCACTGCTGAACATAGGCCTCCCCCAATGCTTTCCATGTTGATCTATTGGTAGCGGCCTGCGTCCAGCGCTTCCCTGCTACCTTTATGATGTCATCGGTCTACCTTCAAGTGGGTGGACGTCTCACGCTGCGTTTTCCGGTACGCGGCCTCATGCTATCATCTACATAATAATACTTATACTCTATACTTATATAATAAATATAATACACGCTAATCTCAGGGGAACCACTCGTCCGATTTGAAAATATCATTTTGTGTTGGATAGCCTATTTTTCGAGGATTTAAGCTATATAACATCACAGCCAATAGGCGCGGAGCAGTAAAAAAAAGTTGCAAAAAATGGGAAATATTATTCAAACTATTTTCACAAGCACGAAGTCGCGGGCATAGCTAGTTTTGTATAAAGGGAGAGGTCTTTCTTTTTTTCAGTGACAGAAACGAAGGAAGCCGCGGGCAAATTCTAGTAATACTTATCTGGATATAAAAATAAATAAAAGGAGACAGTGAAATGACATGAACATATCTTCTATTATCACGCTTCGTTGCACCTTTTCATACAGTTTCGCTTATAACGTTTTTCCTGTTACCTTTGGGAATTTATATAAAGTAGGCCTATATATTATTTAGTGTGTTTGTTTGTTCACAAAAATGTGAACAGTTATTTATTATTCTAAAAAACTGCGAAAAACAGCGTTCCGGAATTCATAAATATTTATTTTAATGAGATTACCATGCGCGAAAAGGCATTTTCAGGATTATTAAATTCGTTAACATTTCTTATACGAGTAATAAAAACTTTTTAACAATATTAAACTGTTCGTTGTACAGCCAGCGTCAAATAGTTCGTGGCACCTAAAGCAGTCAAAAAATTTCGCAACACGTCTTTGTTACAATTGGAATAAGGTTGTACTTAATGTCAACTTTTTAGCCACTTTGGGTTTCACAAACTATTTGACGCTGTACTGGCATCCAAATCAACATTAAATTATTGTAATAGTTATGTTAGTAATTTGACTCTCAAATAAGATATTTTGAATATTTTTTTTCAATCAAATTCAATAATAAATCAAAAAAGCTTTACACTTAACAATACAGTAGAATTCCTCTAAAATGTTCATTCCACAAGCAACGTATCGAATTTCTAAAAGCCAACGTCTCATCTCTTCCAGTATTTAATAATAGTCACTCGGTCCGTTCCATTTCCCAAATGCGTCCGGAATTGGACGATTCGTACAACCGGAAACGGAAACGAGGACCTGGCTGGATAATTAGGATGCAAGATCACTGCGACATGATTACAGGTGGCGCTGGAGAGTTAGTGCCTGCCGTGTATACAGGGTGTGATTTAATTGAATATGTCATTTATGAATCACTAACACTTGGACTAATCACTTTTATTGCTCTTTACATTTCTTAGGACTTTTGAACTAAAAAGTCATGACATTTATCAAACAAAGTTCCTAGCTATGTGACTCCGGGGAGTTAAAAAGGAACACATCTTTCCATGGATGTCATAAGAAATTACTTAGGGAATAGGGATATGTGAACATCAGGCCTTCCTAAAGGCCAAATCCTCCATTTTGCCTTTGGAAAATTACAGGGGATAATCCTCCTTTAGTGGAGGCTATATGACTGATGGTCGAACCAAGTACCAGTACAAAAAAATGCTAGTCTATCTTATAACCTATTTCAGAAATATCTTTTTTATCCAGAGCAGAGAAGCTCTTGGCCTGTATTTCACGTGGTGAAAAGTGACCAAGTTTCTTTTGCCACTTTCTTCTCAGCACCAGCCCATATGTTGTCCTGAAGTGGTGATAGGGCAAGCTATATTTGGGACGTGTTTAAGTGCCCTGGAAAGGGCTTATGTTCTGATTTGTTTTATTTATATTAACCGGCAGACAGTGGTGACTGAGTTTGTTGCGGCGCTTCTTCTCAGCACTTACCAAATGTTGGTCTCGAAGCGCTGGTAGGGTAAAAGATTATGAGACATGCAGAGGCTCCTTAAGAGAAAAATATTTGACGATTTGTAAGTACCTACTATTTATTAGTCAATACAAATAAAGAAATTTTACTTTGACTAATAAACTATTTGATTTGAAGATCAAACCGAAGATTACCCAAAATTCCCCATGAGACACCCTGTATCCCTTTGCCATGGCATTTTCGCAATAGGACTGATGAATCCCCATTGAAATGCATAGAGTGCGTGTTCCTATTAAGTGGGTATATTTGATGTCGAAACACCTTGATGTTGTTGCCGTTTTATTGGAATCGAAATCCACAGGGTATAGATGACCCACGCTGAACTGTCCCGCCAAACTCAATGACAGGGGGGCGCTACCATCGTTCAACTATATGGTTTCCAACATGGCAAAAATCTGAACCAGCGATCCGGTATTGACGGTGGCGCCCCACTGTCAATGTCATCGACAGGACAGTCCAGTATTTTGGAACTATATTTTCTTATTCGAACGTCAAACATGATGCGGAATTAAGGTTGAAATCACTCGTGAATAAAATGTTTGTTTATAGTCAAACGTGAAACGTCAAGTAGCAAAAATTGACCCAGTAGGTATTGATATAACTTTTTAAAAAAATAAAACCGACTTCAAATGCGTGAACACAAAAAAAAAACTAAAAATTAAAAATATTGCGTATAAAAAAGTTCATCCCCAATTTTCCACCCTTGGGGGTGAAATATTTTCTTCAAATTCGCATGAAACCACCCTTTTGATAATACCTATTCAACAAAAAAATAATCGTTCAAATTTATTTATAATCGGCGGAGATATTGCGTATAAAAAAGTTCATCCCCAATTTTCCACCCTTGGGGGTTGTTTTTTCTATTTCATCATTTAAATGGGACCACCCTTGAGGTATTACCTATACGCCGAAAAAAGATTTGTTCAAATCGGTTCATAATTGNTCCACGCTAGGCAGGCGGGTTGGAGATCGCAGTTTAAAAGATTGATGTTTTTCAGAGAGCGCTGCTGCCCATTCTCTGTTTGATGTGTAGTCCCTAAGTCGCCTCTTACGACACCCGCGGGAAGAGTAGGGGTTGGTGACAAATGTATTCTACTCTGCCGTCACCACACGGCTTTTTCTATTATTAAATTTAAATGGGACCACCCTTGAGGTATTACCTATACGCCGAAAAAGATTTGTTCAAATCGGTTCATAATTGGCGGAGTTATAGCGTAACAAACATAGAAAAAAAAAACATACGGGTCGAATTGAGAACCTCCTCCTTTTTTGAAGTCGGTTGAAAATAGTAGCCCTCTTGTCAATGTCATATCTGGCCTTTGGGACACTTCAGTGTTGGACAACTATAATTATTCTTATTATGTGGTTAAGATCCGTTTCAACACATGCTGATAAAGTCCCTGCAGGTTCATGATAATCCTATTGGGTACTTATCTTTCTGATAAGTAATTTTATTTGGTCACTAGTAATCAGCCACCAGTGATTTTATAAAAATGTGAGAAATTACAAGTGAAAATTAAATGTCCCTAGGTCATAAATAAATAATCGTGGAAGATTGGTAGATTATACTATCAGTATAAATATGTACGATAAAAAATATTATTCGTCACATAAAAATTTACTTATTTAGCCTCCTATTTCTTTTGTGTATTTTGTTCTGGCGCTTTTCGCGGCATGTCCAAAAAAGTATCACTAGATATATCTATTTCTGTCCGTGACAATTTATCTAATAACGCTGCTCAGTCCGTCTGTCCATCACAGAGATCCGGATATTGATCTCCGGTTCTCCATTCTGACGATCGCTAAACCGGGTCGAGTGCAGTGGGACCTGGTACTCGAGTTTTAAGAGCGTTTACGTCTAGCGTGGCATGTCAAGTTTAGGTAATTTCGATGCTATTTTTATTCACACTAAAATAATTGTGACTGTGTGCGTGTTCTCACGCTCTATAGTCAAACCAAAATACTTTGATCCACCATCGTAAAAGTGTGCCAGGCTGTCAAGTGACAGCTCAAGGAAACTATAAAATCTTCAAATCTTCCAACACCGACTCCATAATTATAAATCATGGTATACATTAGTCCTAATAAATAATAAATACGTAAATTCTTTATCAAATAGTAAATTATCAACGGTTTTTTTACTATTTTGAGAATATTTTATACAGCCTATGTTCAGCAGAAAAAAAATTGAATTTTAATGGTGAGAGATTTTTTCAAATCGGTTCTATTCAAAAAAAACTTTTCCTGTTAACTATTCTTTTTTTATCCGGAAAATGCATAACATTTCATACCCACCAGCTGCGGGGGCAGGTAGTGGGTTATGTGGGGTTCTTCCTACCAGAAGGCCCCTACACCCACTAAAAACCTGACTGTTTCTGCCATGATCCATATGAGTGATATGAGGGAACGCGGGACATCGCCATTGGCTGTTGCCTGTAGCATTCGTCCTTAGCCGCCACCAGACACCTCCATGTCTAGCGACTGAGGCCTGTTAGGAAGGGACAGTTGGACCATAAGCTGTCCTCTTGCGCCCAGGGTGTCGACGGCGGATAACCGGAGTGTCGGCTGAGGCCTCTCGCTCCCGCTTTCCACTGCTTCTTTCTGTGAAAGAACACTTTCACAGAATGTAAGCACACTATACCATAAGATTATTTGTCTCATAAGAATATATTTTATACTAATGTAGATATTGTTTCCGAAAGCGAGCGGGTTTATTCCGTACCTGTACGCTTCATGCGTTCTCTAGCAAAAGCTGAAAATGAGTGTTCTGCCCTTTTGACGGTAGTGTTTATACTGAGCTCTTTGCTTTTTGCATCGCTGCG